ATCCTTCTTCGAATGGCCAGTTCCGGAGCATCCGAAGCACCTTCCCTTCTTTTCCAATCCGCCCCAGTCATGATCTTGTCCCTTCCGGCGCCCTTCATCAGTGCCCCAGAACCGACACAGCTGCTCATCATTTCGTCCCTCACTTTTTGCCTTCCCAGCCCCCCTTCTCCGCCTTCTCCTCAGCCACTGCAGTCATCGCCTTGACCTTGGTGACGTGGTTCGACGGTTTGATCTCTGGGGGGGTGGTTGAACATCGCTGATGGAAGTGATTCTGCCTCCGCCGTCAGCATGTCCGAGAAGCTGAGGACCGTCTCAAGAGTTGGAGTCACATCAACTCCCAGGGTCGCTCTGGTAGACGACATTCTGAAGGCCACCTGATTGGAGGTCTTTCCCACCAGCTCCGACATCTTGTCCAACGCGCCAAGCAAGAGGGTGGCGTCCGGAGTAGCAATCTCCAGCTCCTGAGCTCTCCTCAAGCTCCTCCTCCAGCCGCGAAGCATCTCCACGACCTCATTCATCGCTGGCGGCGTCTTGGGCTCGACCAGCTGTCGGAGAAGTCGGGATCTCTCCGCCAGCCCTCCCGGCTTGTACCTCCGAAACAAGGCGTAGAGATCGACGCTGGCACTGCGTTCACAGCTGCCCTCGCTGCTCCAATCTGCTCCACACGGTGTTGCACTCTGGAGGCACTTCCGCCTTGATGTGAAGCCTCTGAACCGGCTCCGCTCGAAGCCATTCCCGATAGGCCATCATAGCCCCCTGCATCACCTCTTCCCACCACCTCCATGAAGTAGCGCTGAGGTCCCTCATCGTCGGGGAAATGAGCTGGATCCAATCTCCCAGGACCAGTGATCCCAACTCACCTTCTCGAAGATCCTGAAGAGGTGGCAGTTCGACCGACCTGATCACCTCGCCCCAGCCTCCATCCGTGGCTCCAGTGCCCAACTGCCTCAAGACGGGCTGGGCGGCTTGTTCAAGAGGTGATCCCTTGCTCAGGTCTCCATTTCGTACTGCACAGTCAGGTAGTCCTCCACGTCCAGGTCCTAGCCCTCCTTGGGTTCCGGGGTATGGAGTCCCTGCCACTTGCCCTCCTTGGTGTCCAGCCTGAAGTGCTCCAAGCCAAGATTCCGGTATGGGTGGAGCTCCACGTCCGATGTCATGACATACTCCCGGTTGCCATTGAACTGGATCAGATAGCTTCCCAGGTTCTCCTCGTCGCTCAACTCCTGGAAACTCCGGAATCGCTCCGAGGGAGGTCGTGCCTGCACCCTTCTCAGCCTCTGGGGTTTCAGGCGGCGGTCCCGATGGTGGACTCGGCGGAGGTGTCGATGCTGGATCTCCTTGCCGGAGTCTTCAATCCTTTTCTTCAAGTCCGCCAACTCCCTCTTGAGCATCGAATTCTGTGACATGACCGCTCGAAGAACCTCTTGGATGTCGACTCCCATCTCTTCTCCACCAGATGCGATAGGTCTCGTCGATGATGTAGATGACTCCGGGAGTCCTGCTGGCCTCATGGCCCGGAGCATGGCTTCGTCCTTGACAGTCTGGCTCCAAAAAGGGTTGACTTCCACCGGGCTCGAGGTTCCATGTCCCTTGCCATCCTTCTTGCGGCTTTCTTCCCTCCTCTGAGGCCCATAGGTTGTGGGTGGTCCGTATGGTATAGGAGTTCTCCCGTCATCGCGACCAGCGCACCCTCCTTTGCTGCGATGTCTTCGATCGCCAGAACTCCCTGGTCCTCTTTGGCGCTTTCCATCGAGCTCGCGCCTTCGGGCGACTCCGCGCCAGCTCCACCCATCGCCGCTTCAGCGCCGCCAGCCGCGCCAGCGCCAGCGCCAGCTGCCGCCCGCGGCATAGCGGCCAACGACCCGTGGATCCTCACGATCCGCTCGGGGTGGACTTACGACCCTTGGGAAAAGGTTGGGCTCATAACCTACGTGAGCGCGCTGCGCTCCTTTTCGCGCTTGAAAAAGGGCTTCAGTATGTCAGATACGCTTGATCATAGCCATAAGGCCTTGACCCGGCTGGTGTGCAACCTTCTACACATGTTCATAGCCAAAAGGTCGTGACCTAGCTTCCGAAACTTTGTACACTTTTCTATTTGTGCACCCACAGATTTAATAGAGGGGATGCCCACCAATACGTAATACCAACTTTATTCTTCTCAGGACAGCTGGTGGAACTACGGGGAAAATGATCCGGGTATTCACTGGATTGGGATGTGAGTCCACAGCCGGGTGGCGACGTTGGTCGTTGAAATTTCACAAGTCGCACGGAGTTGAACTAAAACCCGAGTGAAATCTTGTGTGCACAGTTCCCTTTCGCCTTGCCCACCGAAAACGATCAATGAACACGTTTTTTGTTTCCACGATTCTCACCCTTTCACAAAGTGTTCATGGAATTTTAGGCCTTCATTGGACTCATTGACGCCAGAACTTGGGAAAGTGTTCCAGCTGCTTGGTGTAAAAGGTGTAGAATGTGTGAAAAGAACAAATTTCCTACACATATTTAAGACATAACAAGTTTTGTGTTTGTTTTTTTGAATATTCCGATGAGAACAACATTCGAAGGACATCGAGGCGACTGAGTGGGCTGGCCTTCAAGACTCCAGCGGGGGCATTGATGGCATGTTTAAAGCCAGCGCAAACCGCTACACCAGTGGCAAGAATGTTAACATCCTTTTCATAGCCAGCAGAAATGCTATGCTGCTATGCCAATGCTATTAGATGAACAATGTTTCTGCCTTGTGGTCATGACAGGGTGAGTTCAAGGTGGAGACTCTGGATGACATGGAGGAACGAAGCATGACCTGAACAACGTCCCACTGCTGTAAAAATTGGAAATTGCCAGCTTTTGAAGAGCCTCACAAAACGATCTCATATGCGATGAAATTGCTGCAGGATGATTGGAGCCGACGACCCAGCAATTTGAACGATAGGTCCAGCTCCAGTCGATGCATGCTGGGAAGAAGGTCTTTTGGTGGAATTCTGAGGGTTTTAGGAATCATGAATGCCGCTTTGATGTCACGGCAAGGCCAACATGGACCCTTCGATGAAATGATTGTTAGAGTCTCAGGGAAAGCCTGGACAAGAAGTGTAATATATCGAGTTTACTTTGCCTGAGGTCCAGATATCTCATCCGATGCACTATCACATTAGCGATGCTGCCATGAACTTGCCGAGAAGCTAGTTTTGCTTCATTGTTTTTTGTTGTGCCTTGGCCGAGGTCATGCGATATCTTATGCACGTTGATGCATTCAGAGGTCTAGAGGCATTGGATTTCTTGCTTTGACTGATGGTTTGAACTTCCCTCTTCTTGTTGCATCTCCGCATCTCCATCCATTATCATTGTGCAACACCATGTCTTTATGAACCGCGGATCAAATTGTCACTGAGCAGTTTGTAGTGCAAAGCTGTGTTCTGAGCACAAACTGAAAGACAAGATGCAGGATGGTCGTGAGGCAACCCATGGTGGAGAACTGAGATCGTTTGAGTTACAGAAGCTTTGGTGATTTAGACGTGTCATCCTCTTTGCCTCTCTGAAGTTGTCGCATTTAGTTTGAACAAACGTAGAGTCAAGTGACACTGACAGGTCCCATCAAGATTGTTGGGTACGAGCTGTTGGACTCTCCCAGAATGGCAAGAAAGAAAGCCACACGATTGAAGCAGGCGAGAAAGACACAATTTTGTGTCGACCTCACCGTCGCAATTTTCGTCACTTCCAGGCCACAGCTTTGGCACCAAGAAGTCCGGTACCTGTCAAGGCAGACAGCGAAATGATCACACACGCAAAAGCGATAGCTAAGTGAATACAGCATGCACGTCGATAGGGAAGCATACATGTATAGTAAAACGATCATATGTGAAAATTGTTGAAGAGCCCTTGGAATCACCCGAAAATCAGCACAGAGTCGCAAAACAATCAGCCATCAGTCAGGCAGGAGTATTTTTTGTGATGTTTGACCCCAAGCAGGTAGAGCAAGGTTCCCAGACTGAACTCTGGGAAGCAAATCTTCGCGGCAGCCTCAACTGTCATGTTGGGGCAAATGCAAGCTGTTCTTAATCAAAAGTCGTCACTTTCCTGTGTGGATGTGGGCTTTGTGCCGTTTTTTCCAAATCAGGGGGTGCACACAGCTCGACACTCGCTGCCTCATGTTGCGAACCTACCATTGCTTGAACTTGAAGACCATCATCTCACTAATAAAGAGAGCCAAACCTGAAGAATCGTTGAGGCTTTGTTGGACTTGGCATTGCCACACTCTTGGCAATGGCCTTGCTCTCAATACGCAGACAGCGCGGCCAACGTCTTAGTTGCCAGGTTTGCAGTGAAAACAGCTGTGAATTGCTGCTGCGGGTGTATTTTCCACCTAAGGCTATGACACTCTTCCAGCTGCATCAAGCGGTGATTTGTAAGTAGCAACAGTTCATCCAAGCACGCATGATTATGATTAAACCATGGTTATATATATATATATTGGCAGCGACGAACCAACAAACACACGGTGAGTCTGTGGAATTCAGTCGTGTTTGGCGGAATGCCCTCCATCACTGGTCCATTGCCGCCAATGCGCCGGCTTTTGCTTGGAAGCGCTTCCAAGCCTTTACTATTATTTCTAGTCTCCTAATTTGGAATTTGCATCTGCCCAAGTTGCTCATTTCACCTCACTCCTCTTTTGGCAGGTAGCAGACTTAGAGTCTCACCCTGCTGGCTTTCAACTCAAAAGTTCGTGAAGTAGCCGGCAGTGAAGGATTGACAGTGTGGAATTGAAGTGAGATCAGCATTGCGATTCATGATTCAAGTTTCATTGACTCATGTCCGAATGTTGGTTGTTGGTTGTGCACGTTTCTGATGCACCTGTCAATCGCCAACAAAAATTGGAGCGCTGACCTTTTTCAAGTGAATGTTGCAATGTGCATCGAGTTGTGTCAAGTGCATTGTGCTTGTTTGCATTTAATCTTCTTTGGCTCAGCAGAACTCCTGCTATCGTTGTTGAGTGATTTGCACAGGTCCTGGGCTCCGGTTCTCTTCAGAGAGCGGCTCTCAGAGTTAAAGTTTTCAAGTTGTTTGCTGGTACCAAAACACGGGCAGTTCTCAACATCGATGATAGAAAGTGGTGATCACGTGCGACAATCTAGAGTGTCCCTTCTGCAAGTGAAATGATTTTCATTTCGACATCACATGATTTCCTTCACTTCTTTGAACTCCTTTGACTTGTTTGTGTTCTAATTTGACTGTGCCTCCTTTTATGGTCCAGGAGTATTATATAAGCAAAAGCATCGCACAAACATGTCAAACAAGTGTGTTCCACAAGCGTGTCCCACAACAGTGTCCTACAGCAGTGTCTCACAAGAGTGCCCTACAAGAGTCTCCCACAAGAGTGCCCTGCAAAAGAGTCGCGCAAACGTGCCCTACTAGAGTGTCCAAATAGATTGCGAGAGTGTCAAGCAACAGTGCCGCACAAACGTGTCCTACAAGAGTGTCCTAGAAGAGTGTCAGACCAGAATGTCCTTCAAGAGGGTCTTTGAAGAGTGTCAAGTAAGTACAGTAAGTGTCACAAAAGGCTGTTTCCGTTTGTGCACGTGTGTACATTGGCGTGCATGGGCTCTATTTTGTTTGCATGCTCCTTTGAATGTCTTGTGACACTGTTCTTTTTGTTTGTTCTTGCCTGATCTTGCCAAAAGCTTCACACCTTGTTTCCTTTTGTATTTGCTTCTTTGGTGCAGGTCATGCATCCTTTAGAAAAGCCTCATGAACAGCAATTTTGTTAGTTTTTGCCTGTGGTTACCTATGCTGCTTTCGCCCCTTGCCATTCTCAGACTATGTATGGCTTGACTTATCTTTCAATTTGTTTCTTTCCTTAAGGATCAGTGTCGTGCATTTTGCAAGGTCTCATTACCACAGGGCATGGCCAGCAGGACACGGGCAGCTTCTGTGTGCCAGAGATAGATTCCTTGGTATGTAAAAAAGTAAAGGATGCTGTGCGTTCAGGACGCAGTTCTTTCTGCCTCAGTGGCACGTGCAGCTGCAGCTGCGCAAGCTGCCCGTGCCCAGGTTGCCTTGTCAGGCCACAAACACCAATTCCCTTCCCTCGTCACAGTCTAGAGAGAGTGCTTTCACTGTGTGGACTTTTGCAAAACTTGCGCTGCGGGCGAAGCATAAACTGTATGACTCAAGCGCATCATAAGCTTCGAAGGTGACACTGTGATTGATCAGGACGCGCGACGGCTGGGGGCTGTGCACCGCGAGCAATTGGTGGTGTAAGCGATGAGGACTGACAAGCATGACCAGTACTTGTTTGGCAACTCAAGACCTACATTCGGATTCTGTCCGATTTAGAGAGGATGATGTTGTTATGATCCATGTTCGTCACTTCGTTCATGATGCCAATGGGCTACTTATGCCAATGGACTGCTTGGCGTTTTGGGCTCATTCCTCATAAAGCCGCATGCATGCACATTTAGGGTTCAGGACGCTTTATGGTCCAACGGCTTCATTCCGAACAAGACATGAAGCGAAAGTTGATCTTGGCTAGATAAAGGCTCTTTCACGTCTCCTTAGGTTAATTGTGCTTATGAGTGCAGCAGGCAGCTCAAAGAACAGGATGTTGAATGCGCAAATATTTTCACGGATGTTCAACTGTATAGGTTGAGGCATGCTTTGTTGGACCTTTGGGGACACCAATGTGGACACAAATTGAAGCTAAGTCAAGTGCAGGAGAGCATAGTCTTCGACATTCCCTTGCATTTGGCAGAGAAGGCAGGGCCTGAGGATGATTCTAGCGGGCCAGTGTACAACTTTGATCGTTTGGAAGAGATGCATTGTTCTTCAGACGGTTGGTGGAGATGCTGTTATGTCAATTCACTTTTGCCACAGGTCCTTGGAGATGGCTCTTGGCAGAAATCCGTGGAGTCAAAGACGGGTGCTCGAGTGATTGCAGCGTCCCCATACTTAACTTACAACTTGTAAACTGCTCCAATGATATTTGTCACTCATGAAGTCTGAGGTCAGACGAGACGCACTCAAATGCCAGCTGGAACTTTGTGGACAGCCTGAGCAGGTGGGTCAGTGGTGCAGCGGTGCAAGACTGCAAGACCTCTCCGCAGCAAGTCCCGAGCCCCGCATGGAACAGGTTGTTGAAGCAGAGTCGTTTTGCGAAGAGACTGTAAGGCCCGGAAATTAGGACCTCTTGGGCTCTCTCATTTTAACTCGTGGCATCAGGGTCATTGCAGCCGGCATGCCACCGTTGGAATCCCAGCGTTCGTAGTCTCATCCAGTTTCTGAGCCTCAATTTGTGATACGGAGGCCACAGGAAAAGCCTTTGGCAGAAAGAATACCCCTGGCCCTGTGGACGCCTTAGCAAAAATGTTGTTAGCGCACTGACTGCCTCCATTTCAGCTAGGCCGCCACCACCGCTGGGAATCTCAGAGAGGCCCCAGAGAGGTTTGCGCATTAGAAACATTAAACTGGTGGCCAGTTCTGCTAGATACACGTATCCTGGTGACTTAGTAAGGCTCGCTGCTTCTTCTCCGTGTCACCTCGCCTTGTTGTCTCGTCGGGCCTTACATTTGCGTGTCCTTTTGCATTTGTCGTGACCAGGATATCTCCCTTGCAGAGCAAGCAGTACAGTACTTGTTGAGGCAGGGACCCTTTGCAATTCTTGTATCAGTCAGCCAGGTCCAAGCCTCATGGCAGCATCAATCTTGCCAAGGCTGGCTGCGTAGTGTATTTCCAGGCTCTCAAAGGTCATTTTCTTATGCTGGATCGCAGCCAGGCCGCCTTCGCAAGGTCAGAGACTTTGGATTTGAACTTGAGCTTGAGTTCTGTTTGTTGCACCATGTGTACAGGTACTCCTCAGGCGCGTTGCTGATTTCTTTTGATTCCTGCTCTCCAAGATTCAATTGTACAACATTCCTCACTGTGAGGGCGCGCCACTAACTCCTTGGGCAAAAGCAGGTTGGGACACTGCCAGGCTGGACCAGCTATATTTCGAACGGCCTGGAAGTTATGCTGTGTGTGTGTGTGCGCCCCTTGTAGTCACAGGGATTCTTTTGAATTGTGAATAGAATTGGCTTGTTTAGAGCAGGGGGCAGTAGCCCACTCATGAGTCTACTGCCAACGAAGCTGCTCATGAGTTGGGAGGATATCGGAGCTGATCACTCCGACGTACCTGCAAAGTTTGTGATGTTCTCACGCTTTCTCTCCAATCTTCTGGTAAAGGGCTAGTGAGCTCCGCAGACTTGCACGCTACGCCGTCACCCTGTCGTTTCGACCTCGACTTGCGCTTTTGGCCCCACTTCCTTTTGAAGACCCCCAGGCCCTTTAGGACTTTCCTGGACCTTTCAGGATTTGGGTTCTTAGGCTGGCGTGTGGCACCGCATTCACATCCGTACGCATTTCTATAAGTGTGTCTCTCCTCGTGAGAGTTCAGGGTGGGCCCGAAGAGTGCCCCCTGTGGACCCGTCGAACGGGTGTTAGTCCTCGTCCCTGCGCCCGGGACCAGAGCAGCTCGCAGGGAGCGTAGGTGGCCTAGGCCGAGAGAACTCCGATCGTTGTCTTACTTTTTGAATTCCAAGTTGGCTCATGCCTGTGCATGACCGTAGCGGTCAAAGGTGGCTTCGGGCAAGCCGTACGTGGTCGCAGCGACCAAAGCTTGTTCAAGGTTCATTGGAACCTGTTGGGGCCTTAGCATTCTAGAGTGATGAGTTCCTCCCCACCACCTCCCGCCATGTCCACATCACCCGCTGGCTTGGCGCCGACGGAGGGGGCATCCCTGTAGTGGCTCAGGCAGTTCTACATCGTGAAATTCTTCATGTACATGCCTCTTTGAACCTCATCCTCACGATTCTTCGCACCCGTTTGGCCATACTGGCCCCCCCCATTTCTTGGAACGTGTCCTCATCTTCAAGTACAACTCCAGAGGCTTGGATGCTGCCATCCTACAGACACGACAGGTCAACTCACTCTTCCCTATAGTACTTTCCCACCACATTGCATTCACACATTTTCAATTTTTCTCCATTGGTGCTCCTTGGGACCGTATCTTCGCCCGCTGACCCTTTCTTCTTACAGGTGTTTGACCCCTTTTTGCACCACCATCCCGCGGACGTTCTTCGAGCAGCTCTCCTGATCATCATCGTCGCCGAGGACAACGTGATCGTCGGACTTCTCGCCGCTCGCGCACTCCTCGCCGGAAATCTACCGGTCTGGCTGTGGAGACCCCTTCCTCTTCCAACACCTTTGAGGCTCGGTACTCCATCCCCAAATCCTGGACCTCCGATGACATCTACTTGGATCGCCAACAGGAGTACAAATTGACTTATTTTCCCCGTGACCGTCGGGTCATTGCAACTGCGTGGAGTCGTGATCTTCACATTGATCACCAACCCATCGAGGATGTCCGCTTGATCGATGTGCTCAGCGGGAACTGGACTTTGCGTTTGGTGGCCAACGGCCGTCTGGTCCAGTTTGGGGGATTCCGGAATTTTCAGGAGACCTATTTATGGTCTTCATTATCCCGCAAGATCTTCAGGAGCACTGATGTTGACATCGCCCGGATCATCGGTCACTTACACCCCGCCGCTTTGAAGGACGACTGGGACGATAAGCCCCAAAGACACCACCACCCACGCACCCCCGGACAGCCATTCCGAACCCGAGACCCCCGAAGAACGAGAACGCCTTCGCCTGGACAAATCCAAGCCCAAGGTGACTCCTCCTCTTCCACCACACTCCAGTCGCACATTGCACACCCACTTCCGGACCTCGCCCGCCGACGCTGGCAAGACCAATGCCGCCCCCGCGGATCCTTCGCAGCCCTACATCATTGGTGACCTGAGTAGAACAAGGCGCGAAAGTTGGAGGTCATCGCTCTTAGGTCGGAGGCCGTCGAAGGCAGGTTGAGGGGCCATCGCAGCAAAACAGTCAAAGTTGGAGGTCCTCTCTCTTAGGTTGGAGGCCATCGAAGGCAGGTTGAGGGGCCATCGCTAGTAAGTTGGTGACAAGAACCGAAGCGGCAAAACCATCAAAAGTTGGGCGGGGTTCTTCGCTGTTAGGTTGGAGGCCGTCGAAGGCAGGTTGGGGGGCCATTGTAGGTTGGTGACAAGAATCACAAGAAACACAAGACAGCCAAGGTTAGAGGCCAATGCTAGTGGGTGGAGGCCAATGAATTCAGGTTGAAGGACCACGTTACAAATTTGGAGGCCTACCTGCAAACCTAAAGAGTAGAAGAGAGGAAAAACAGAAGGAAAGGATAAACACACAAGTGTGTTGAGTACCATTTCCTGCTGTTTTCCTAAATAGTGGAGCAGGTACGCCGAGCTGATCAGGCTCTGCATCCCCCTCTTGTCCACAGCTTCGGTGCGTGTGGTCCACACGCCCCTGCTCGAAACTAAAAGGTTCCCTGTGAGCCCAAGGGTTTCACACACACGCCCCCCCTCGAAGGGAAGCACGCTTGGCCTCCATCCTGCCCGGAAAGGAGGCACCCCCATCCTGCCCGGAAAGGGGGTTATGCGAAGCGCATGTGCGCGCAAAGGAGACAGATGAAAATGAAAAGGAAAGAGACGAGACAGACAAAAAGTGTGTGTGTGTGTAACCCTTGGAATCATAGGGATCCTTTTGGATTTGTTCGGTTTTCCTTTTAAC